ATGACAAGACTTCCCTGATCCCTCCACCCCAGTCCCTGTAGGCACCACACACATTAACACCCCCTGTCCCCCTTCCTGGTTTTCTTCCCCTTTCCCTTCCAGGAGTGAAAGCAGAGATATTTGTGTGGGAGTGTGTTTGCTCCTGGAGAATCCAGAGAGGGAAAGGGGAGGCAAAAGCCTCGGAATTACAGCTGCTCCAGAGCTCTATCTGTCGGAGCCCCCTGGAGCAGCTTCCCTGCTTTTCACCCTGTTGATCAAAATTCCTGGGGTTTTTTTAGCGAGGTTTAACTGCCCTGGGAAGTGGCAACAGCAGGAGGAGAGCTGGTTTTTTAGGAGCAGAGGGAGAATCCCAGGGAGAGCTTTGGATATGAGGCTGAAGGACTCTGGGTTGATGTTTTATTCCGGTTCCTGGAGAGGCTGGAGCACAGGCAGAGCTTTGGCAGCAAATCCCTGCATGGACCTGACCTGTGTGGTGGCCCTGGAGCATCCTCAACCTCATCCTGTGTCCCTGAAAGAGCAGAAACTCACTGAATTAACATGTTCCCACTCCCTGTAGGCATTTCCTGGGATTCAGGTGTTTATTCCAAGGTGACCTCAGCATTTCTTGGGCTCTGTTGAACATCACCACGAACTGGCTGTGATGGGACTCCAGTCACCTACCAGTGGACTGCTAAATTTAGGGTTTCTGTGCTATATTTTGCCCCCAAAGTGTGTTTAGGAAGCATTACACGCTTAAGCTGCACAAGCTCTTACAAATGCAAGAGTCGAACGCTGTTATTATACCTAATCCTGCCTAATTTGGGAAGAAAGTGCGGCACAATTTCTTGGCAAACCCGTTTCAGCGTAGACAAAAACATTTGGGACGGCATTAGGAACGCTTGCAAACAGACCTGGGAGGTGGTAAATTCCTTAATGTTCCTTGTACAGTGGGTTTTTTTGTATAATTTAGCATAATGTCCACGCTTAATGTCTTCACACTCGCATCCCAATGCAGGCTCGACACGGGTATTTGTTGTGTGTCATTTTGATTCCTCGTGACTCGACGGGATTGGCGGCTGAGAGCCGGGGAATCCTGCTGGAAAACTGGAAATCCGGAATCTATGCACACAAGACATAAATCCCGTAATATTTGCCAAGAGAAGTTGTGGATTCCCCCGTCCCTGGGAGTGTCCAAGGCCAGGTTGGGTGTGCTCAGAACAACCTGGTTTAGTGGAAGGTGTTGGAAGGGGTTGGAATGGGATGATCCTTAATAACCCCTTCCAAACCAAACCGTTCAGGGATTTTATGATTTTTAGGTTTCTTGCACCCAAATGCTAAAAGAGCCCTGAGGGTTCAGCATGAAGGTGACTCTCCTCAGTTGGGAATTTTTTCCTCGCACCCACGAAGGGCCAACGCCTGCAAACGTGTGGAAAACACAACTTTTACCTCGGAATGATGGAAAAAAATGTCAATTTTCCGTGAGAAAACGTGTGCCCAGTAGAACAGGCTTGTGATAGACTGAAATGTGCTAATATTTTGCCAGCACTGAAAAGTAAGTGGGATGAGCTTAGTAACTGCAGTCCAAAGATAACTTGGTGTCAGTTCCAGCTGAAATAATGGAAATGTTGATGGAGGATTAAGTTCACAGCAATTCAAAATCTCTGAATACAATTTGTGCATTTGAAAGGAGATCTAGTCAAACAAATCCAATTGCATTCCCTAAGGAAATTGTAATTCTGCTTGATGGAGATAACAACACAAAGGTAGCAGCCACTTGGGGGTACTTGATTCTGCTCAACATGATCCTCAGGTTCAGGATTAGCACATGAAACCCCGGCAGGGTGAGTGGCACAGGCTGAGGGATGGGTGACAAAAGGCAGCTGTCGCTGTGATCGTGGGGTGGGTTCCTCAGGGAATGGTGTCAGCCCGGATTTTGGTGCCCCAGGGATGTGGGGGTGAGTGGAAAATCTCTGCTGATTAAAGTCGGGTGGCGGCAAAGTTTCACAGGGAATATAAATTTCCCAGCGGGGGGGTCACATCCAAGGGTGCTCTGAGCCAAATGCAAACGTTGCCCACCTGGAATATTGGGGACCCCCAACATAAGAAGGATGTGGAGCTGCTGAAGTGAATCCAGAGGAGGCCCCGGAGCTGCTGCCAGGGCTGGAGCCCCTCTGCTCTGGAGCCAGGCTGGGAGAGCTGGGGGGGTTCCCCTGGAGAAGAGAAGGCTCCAGGGAGAGCTGAGAGCCCCTTGCAGGGCCTGAAGGGGCTCCAGGAGAGCTGGAGAGGGACTGGGGACAAGGCAGGGAGGGACAGGACACAGGGAATGGCTTCCCAGTGCCAGAGGGCAGGGATGGATGGGATATTGGGAAGGAATTGGTGGCTGGGAGGGTGGTGAGGCCCTGGAATGGATTTCCCAGAGCATCTGTGGCTGCCCCTGGATCCCTGGGAGTGTCCAAGGCCAGGTTGGAGCAACCTGGGCTAGTGGAAGGTGTCCCTGCCCATGGCAGGGGGTGGCACTGGATGGGCTTTAAGGTCCCTTCCAACCCAAACCATTCCATGAATATCCAGGGACAAGGATGGCTTGCACAGGAAGGACTCTCGCTGTGGAACACAAAACTTCCGAAGAAAATGTTTGATTCTTTTACTCCAGAAGCCCATCAGCGATTCCTGGTGAGGTGCTGTGGCCCAACTGACCCTCTGATCCTTCAGCCAGCAGTTGAGGGGGTTTTAGGAAGGTTTGGGTGGAAGTGTTAGGTGTGTTGGAGTGCTGTGTGGGTGGTCAGTGCACTTGAAAGGACGTTGGGAAGCGGCACAGCGTGGAAAAGAGCAGCACGAACTTCCTGAGGATGGAAGAGAAGATCCCTCAGCGAGATTCAGAGCTCAGCCTGTATCCAAGGAAGTCAGCTCCAGGCCACGGTGTAAGAACCACCCTGGGAAAACCATTCTGCTGTTAGAGAGATCCCTAATTAGTTGGGAAGGAGCAGAACAAAGCCCACACCATCTGGAAGCCGAAGCCAGACAGATTCATCTGAAAAACCAGTCAGGACGTTTTTAACGAGGACAGCAATTAACCATCAGGGCTAATGATGATGGAGAACAGCGTATTCCGTATCTGCTGTTGTTTTCAGGCCTGGGCTGAGCGTGTTCCTCCGAGCTGGAGTGGTTTGGGTGCTGAGTGGGTTCTGTTCAGCTCACGTCTGTCCCCTGTTCCTTCCCACAGTTCCGGTACAAGCGCCGTGTGTACACCCAGGCCCTGCTGGATGACAAGCAGTTTGCCAAGCTCCACACCAAGGTAAGGCTGCAATCTGCCTGCCAAGCTCAACCCAGAGGGGATTTGGGGATGTTTCAACCCCCACTGCTTATCAGGTTGCAAAGAAGTCACGGGAAATGGGTGGTGTTTGCCCAAACCTGGGTGGTTTAGGTGAGGATACCCCTGTGGTGGGTGCACACACAGGGATAAACCTGCATGGATTACATCCCAGCAGGCAGCAGCGTGGTTGGGATGGGTGGGAAGGCGCAGGGACGGCGTCCATGGGGTGCTGAGGGACAGGAACCCGTGATGGGCCTCCCCCAGAGCAGCTTCATTCCCCAGCACGGGGGAGTTGGAGCACAATGGGGCACATTGAGGAGCTCAGCATCCCTCCCCCAGCCTCTGCCTCCAGCTGCTTTGTCTCCAGCTCTGACCCGGCTCTTTGGGTCGTGCTTTCGCCAGTGGGATCCATGTGGGAAGTGGGAAGTGTTCCTGGTCTCCTGCAGCCCCCTCGTGTCCTGGGCAGCGTGTCAGGGTCGACAGTGAACGGACCATGGGGATGTTTGGGGAGCAGGGGCTGTGTGGGCGTCTCCTGGGAGGAGAGAAGGCCCCAAAACCACCAGGCTCTGCAGCCAGGCATGTTAAAGAGGGCCAAACCTGGAGGGCTGGGTGCCCTCTCCTCCCCTGGGAAGCTGCAGTGGTCCCCTGTCCCATGATGCCACCTCTTCCCTGAGAAATTAAGGGCAGGAATTGTGGAGAGGTGTGGAACCACCACGGGGTTTCTGCTGCCACTCATAATTGTGCCTCGAGGTGGCACGGGGGGACTTTGGTGGTTCCTGGGAGGTTGGGACCAGTGATGTGTGGGAAATACAGGAGAGGAGGGAGGGAGGTGGGCTCTGGCAGCACCTCGAGAGGCTCTTGGGGATGGATCTGTGCTAGAGGGGGGCCGTGCAGAGAGGCTTTGGGGGTTCTTGTTTAGGAGGGATGTGGAACTGGCCGGGATCTCTTGTTGCTGGTTATCACAAGCTCTTCGTAAACCCTCTGTGCAAGGTGATGGTTGTGGCTCCTCCTCGTCCTCCTGGCAGCCCTGTGGCTCCTCCTCAGCCTCCTGGCAGCCCGTGTTGCTGCTGGGCACGGGGCATCTGTCCCTGGCTCCTGTGCCAGTCTGCGAGGTGGTCACATCTGCTCTGCAGGAGACAGGCAGGCAGCGTCCGTGGGTGTTAAACTAATAGGTAGAACAGCAAGAGCTGAGCTTGGTGGAGCCACAAACATAGAGCAGAGAGGGAGAAAACCTTCTCCCAAAAAGGGCTTGACCTCCCCCAGAGGCCGTGGGGAGGAGCAGGCCCTCTGTGGTGGGTTTGCAGAGCTGCAGAGGCACGGAACAAAACGCTGATGTGGTTCGGGTCTGGCTCCCGCAGATCAAAGTCACGGGGCTTCTGTCTGGTGGCATAAGAATATCCAGGCAGCAGATCTGGAAAGCTCTCGGCATCTCCCTGGCGCCAGGAAACGTGAATCATTGGTCTTTCCTGAGCCTTGCCAGAGGAGCTGGGAGTTCTCCTGCTGGAGGGAGGAGCGCTGGGGGCTCCTGGCGTTGGGAGACCCGGTGGCAGCGCCCCGGGATTTCCCTGCGGGTGTTCAGCAGCCCCAGACAGGCTGCGTTAAATACTCAATTCATCTCCACTTTAATTCCTGCTTAACCCCAAACCCTCCTTCGTGTCGTTTCTTTATTTTTAAACCGTCCCTCGCCGGTCGAATCCCGCATCTGAGATCCTGCGTCTCCGCTCCTCCGTCGGGGGGGGGGATGCTGCTTTCCCGGGGCCCGTGGGCGTCGTGGCATTTGGGGGGTGGGCAGGAGAGGAGCTCAGGGGGGTGTGGTGGGCGAGCAGGAGATGAGGGCAGCCCGAGGGACAGTGCCAGGAGGGCTGAGAGTGTGGGACGTGCTCGCTCCGGCCGCTCTGGCTGGAGCGATGCCGGAGCGCCGGCGGCGCCGGGACTCGCCCGGCTCGGATCGACGCCGTCCCCTGGGAGAGGGCGAGAGAGGAGCCTGCGTGTGCAGCCTCCCAGCAGCTGGATCCGGGGTGAGAGGGGCGCAGAGAGCGCGGGGCCATGGGCTCCTCCCTGGGCCGGTGGCTGGCGGAGCGCAGGGACAAGCGGGGACGAGCCCGAGCCAGGAGCACGGTACTGCCTCTGCCCCCACGGCTGGGCCGGGCACCGCTGGGTCAGGGGGCATGGAGGGACATGGGGGGACGTGGGGGACAGTCCTGGCCTGGCACTGACCCCACCCAGGGCTGCTGGGGCAGGGCAGGACCCGGTGGGGGGGGTTTATTCCCTGCGCGGTGTGGAGACCGATCCAGGGAAGGGCTGGGAACTGCTGGGGGGGTTCTGCTTGCCTCTGACTTTAGGGTTGGTGTTTCCATCTGGGAGAGTGGAGGTGTGATGCCTCTGGGTCTCCCTGTTATTTGTTGCGGTGTCTAATTGTTTGGGTGGTGAAACGTTGTGTTTTCTGGGATGTGGTAGTTTAAAGGGCTGGGCGGGATTGGCCTGAGGTGTGACAGGATGGTGGGGTGTCCTGAGGCTGGGGGTGATTATGTCCTGAGGCTGTGTGATGTCCGAAACCTTTCACCCTGTGGTTGATGGTCTCAACCCAATCAAAGCAATGCATGAAAACTCTCAGAGTTTTTTCTGATTTTTAGTGGCAGGAGGCACAACTTGAGTCTCTCGATGACCTCGAAACACGATTCTTAACTGCCACTGGAATAGTCACAGAATCATTTAGATTGGAAGAGATCTCCAAGATCATCGAGTCCAGCCTGTGACAGATCAAACTAGAAGTGAACAGCTCCTTTTTTTGGGTGCCAGTGGTCTTGTTCTAAGAAGTGGGAGAGCTGAGTTCTTGTACTGCTCACAGTGATGAAGGGCCTTGGTACCACGTGTGGATCAGCCTCGACCCCTTGTGCCCCTCGGGATTTGCAGGCACTGACATTTCTCACAGGCTGCTTTTCCCAGTGAGTTGCAGGAGCCCATTTGGAAGTGGGAGTGCACAGAAATCCACGTTACAAAAGGGCAAATCCCGTTGTGCTTATGAAGGAAAAGGTGTGCAGAGAAATCTTGGCATTTGCTGAAGTGTCCACAGAGTGCTGCCAGGAGACTCGGGGCTGTTACCACCTGGAAAGGGAAAGGAGCATCACACTTAAAACACACTCAAAGGAATGACTGGGAGCAGGGATGCCGTTCCTGCTGTGGGTGCTGGGAGGGGAGAGCCAGAGCATTGACCAGGGGGGGTGATGCAAACCATACACTGGAGAAGGAGACAGCAGGAAGGAGCTGGCAGAGGCTGAGAAGGAACCTGGGAAGAGAAGGGAAGGTGGTGAGGGGTGAAGGATTCAGGAATTGCAAGGAACACATCAGAACTCCTCAGCTGCTGTGTCAAATTTGGTGCAAACAAGGCCTGTTTTGCCTCTCTGTATCAGGAGACCTCTTGCTTATCTCTAATTTCTCTACCTGGACAGCCCAGAGTAGCAGGGCTTTGTCAGGTGTGGTGGTGACTTGGCTTTAAGCTGCCGGAGGGCAGGGTCAGATGGGATATTGGGAAGGAATTCCTGGCTGGGAGGGTGGGGAGGCCCTGGCCCAGGTTGCCCAGAGAAGCTGTGGCTGCCCCTGGATCCCTGGAAGTGTCCAAGGCCAGGTTGGAGCAACTTAGTCTAGTGCAAGGAGTCCCTGCCCACAGCAGGGGGTGGAACTGGGAGGGCTTTAAGGTCCCTTCCAACCCAAACCATTCCATGATTCTTTGAAGGCAAAGTGCCATCGCTCCAAACATCCCTCCCTTCCTCCTGCTTCCCAAACTGTCATTGCTGAGCATGGCATCCTTTGGTCTGGGACACCCCTGGGTCAGTTGGGGTCAGCTGTCCTGGCTCTGTGCCCCCTCAGCCTGCTCAGGACTGACCCCCCTGTGTCACCACAAATCCAACACATGGATGGAGCAACCCAGCTCTATCCCGGAGCATCCCCAGCATCCCGCACGGAGAAGGTGTCCCTGCTGGGGAGGCACTGCCAGAGAGGGGAGGCAGCTGCCCAGACAGTGGTTAAACATCGTTGTGGCGTGTCAGGAAGTCGATGGTTTGATGTCAATAATTTGATGTTTCCGTGGGGATCGATGGCTCCATTTGCTGCTGCCCCACAGGGAGGTGGATCTGCTCCAGCCTCTCCCGCCCCAAAACCCGTGCTCTGTCTTAATTCCAGCTGCTGTTTGGGGGCAAACTGGGCCCTGAGAAAAGATTAACCCTTGCCTGATTGCTGGAAACACCCGAGTGAAGGGTTTGTGCTGCCTCCCCTCTCCCACAGAGCCCTGGGTGCCTGCGCTTGGCTCGCCCAACCCGCCGGGAACAGCGAGCGCCGGGATAATTTCCCTGCACGAAGAATATCTCATTTATTTCCTTTCATTTCCATTCAAGAGAGAGAGAGAGGAGCTTGTTGCCTCGCACCAGTTTCGCTCTCAATGAGCTTTTCTTCTCTGGAGGGTGTTGATTTTCCCCGGTGGTGGATGATGGGGAGCGGCGGGCGGCCGCCAGCTGGGCGGCTGGAGCTGTGCCCTGGTGCTCTCCCGGCCTCACCCTCCTCCCCACGCCTGCTAAAACAAGGGAAAACACCTCAAACTCGCTCAGGAGGTGTGCTGGGAGGTGGCATTTTGGGTGAGGATGGGTGGGATCGGAGCTGAAGCACCAGAGCCGTGGTTTGGGCGCGGAGGGTGAGGGCAGAGACCCTTCGAGGCGCTGGGTCTTGTCTCTCCTGACGAGGCTCCTCTTCCTTCTCCTCCTCTTCCTTCTCTTCCTTGGGGAGCTTTGCCCCCAGGGAAGAGGATTCCAAAGGCAGGGATGGCTTCCCAGAGGGTTTCCAGGTGGTGTGAGCTCAGCTCTGCCCCTGTTTTCTCACAGACCCCCTTGATCCTGGGACAGACCCACCTCCTGCAGCCCCCAAGCCCTGCTCCCTGTGAAAAGACTTAAAACACCCCTTAAAAAATTAGAGTGAGGCCTAACTCTGAGCTT